AGGGTGCAGGGAGGTGGGAGTTGGACTCTGCTCCCAAGTGAATAACAACAGGATGAGAGGAAATGGCCTGAAGCTGCACCAGGGGAGGGTTAGATTGGATGTTAGAAAGAACCCAAAGAATGGCTGGACAGTGAAACAGGCTGCCCAGGGAGGTGGTGGAGTCACCATCCCTGGAGGTGTTTAAGAGAAATAGTGCTTAGGGACATGATTTAAGCACTGACTGGGTAGATTAGGTGACTAGATGATCTTTTGGGATGATTCTGTCCAGGGTTAGGACTCCAGGATTAAGGGTCAAGGCTTAACAAAGCATAATAAGCAAATTAAATGGTCTAGGGTTAAGAGTCTAGGGTTGAGGGTCTACTGCTATAGGTCTGTAGTTAAGCATCAAGGGTAAATGATCTAGCTGATGTGGTGGTGTTAGGTCATAGGCTGGACTTGATGATCTCCAAGGTCTTTTCCAGCCTTGGCCATCCTGTGATTTTAATGACTTTGTTCACACACACTTCAGTCCCTCCTGCCTGCCACAATCTCCAAGAAAATCAATTCCCAAGCTCCTCAGGCAGGTCCCTCAAAAACCCCTTCCTCCAAAAATGTCTTTGCCAGTTCCTCCTCACTATCTTCTGCATAGATCCACGACAGCAAAGCTGTTCTCCCTGGGCAGTATTAGCCCAGTCTTCACTGGGAACATTCACCCATTTAGGAAGGCAATCCTACACAGGCTTCACAGTCAGGAGCCTCATGTCTCCTTTTCCTCGTGTATTTTTAGGAAACCTGACTTCTGATACAACTGCCCTGTCTCTCAACTGTGCCTTTGGATTGCACTGGTGACATGTCAGCACTGCTAGAGACCCTTCAGCAAAGCTCCAAAGGAGGAGATAAATGGCCCTGGACAGAGGGGAGAGCTGTCAGCACCACAGGCAGCACACACCATGCTGTGCAGGATGGCTGTGGGATATGTATATTTTATGCCCAGCTGCCATTTTCCACTTCCCCCTCTTTAATAATGAAAATGTCTCTAATGCAGTTCTGCCCTACCCTCCTTACCCCCCCTTATATTTGGTAGCATGTGGAACAAAGACTGGTCAGCCTTTCTGGGAACAGGTTGCCCAGGGGAGTTGTGGTGGCCCCATCCCTGGCAGTGTTGAAGGGCAGGTTGGATGGGGCTTGGAGCAGCCTGGGCTGGTGGGAGGTGTCCCTGCCCATGCAGGGGTTGGGACTGGATGATCTTTGAGGTGCCTTCCAACCCAAATTCCATTTTTCTCTGTTTGCCATGTTGAACTGTCCTCCCTTCCTGCTCTTTTCTAATCCTCTCCAGCTGCAACCAAGCCAGGGGGGCAGGGAAACCCTCAGTCAAACCCAGAAAGCATTTAGTAAAAACAAATAAGGTTGCTAAGAAACCGTAAAGATAAACTCAAACCCACTAAATCCAGGAAATGTAAAGAAATTCATATGGTCTTTTCAAACACAAGCCCCTCAGTCTCCTCAGTGCTCGCTGTGTCACCCTATTCTAGCAGAGCTCAGGCTGTGCTTATAGTGCCTGGGACTGATGCCCAAAACGTGGGAATCCCAAGAAACCTGCACATGGAGCCACTCCACAGCATCTACCTCTCTTTCACCTTTCCTGACCACGCTACAGGCTAAGAGTTCACAGTGCAGGGAGGCCATGAATTCTCTGCAGATCGTTAGTCATCTGTAATGAGAGAAGCAACAATGCTGCTGGGAGCAGCAGCAGGGCTGGGAGCAGGAGCAGGGCTGGGAGCTGCAGCAGGGCTGGGAGCTGCAACATGCAAATCCAGGATCCAGAAGAAAGCACAGGTCCTACCCTCCCTGCCCTGGCCGTCCTGTCAGCTCAGAGTACTGAAGAGCACAGGCTTGGCTGCTGATCTGCAGCTCCACCTCCATCCTAGCACAGAGGAACAGCTCCCAGAGCCACGCTGTGCCCAGGGGGGTTTTTTGGAAGCTGAGTTCATGCCTACGCTCAACTCCCAAATCAGGGCACCTCCAGGGCCTTGAGAGGGAAGATGAAAGCCAAGGGAAGGGGGTGAAGATGCCAGCCATGCCTGTGCCACGCAGCCCCCAGGGCCATGTTTACATGTTTTCAGAGCCTGGTGAACTCTGGCACAAGGGGCAACTGAGGGCAGGCAAGCCCCTTCCACCAGCTGCCCTGGGAGCACCACATGTTCTCTCCCCGTGTGCTCAGCTTCGCTGCAGCACCTGAGGCACCTCCTCACACTTCACAAGCCTGTGAGAAGCAACAAAGTGCCATGAGAAGGCTCCTGCTTAGCCCTCCTATCTCCATTCACCTGGAGTTAAACCAGACACTGAGAGTGCAGCCATTTCCTACCATGCAGAGGTGCAGCTGCACAAGTTGTACACCAGAAACCACATGTGCCACCAGCCCTGTGGCTCACTCCTTGCTGTGCAGCAAGGCTGACACTTCTCTGAAAGGAATGGGGTGAACTCACTCACTATTTCAGTTTCATCCTGTCTCAGCAGGATCAGATCAGTGGTTCATTTCTGCTATGAGAACAAAACCAGAGAGGATCCCAATTCCCACTCAGAGTTTGCACTTGGAATGGCACCACTTTGACTAGTACAATTTATCACAAATGGAGCAAATTCTAATCCTTGCTAACAACACACCTTGAAAAATCATTATTATGAAAAAGCAGTCTAAATATCCTAAATGTATCATTAAGAGTGTGTCCAGCAGGTCAGGGAGGTTCTCCTGCCCCTCTGCTCTGCCCTGGGGAGGCCTCCCCTGCAGCCCCAGTTCCAGAAGGACAAGAACTACTGGGGAGAGCCCAGCACAGGGCACTGAGATGCTGCAGGGGCTGGAGCATCTGCCTGTGAGGAAAGGCTGGGAGAGCTGGGGCTGTTCAGCTGGAGAAAAGGAGGCTGAGGGGGGATCTGCTCAGTGCTGATCAATATCTGCAGGGGGTGTCAGGAGGATGGGCCAGACTCTGCTCAGGGGTGTCCAGGGACAGGACAAGGGGCAATGGGCACAAACTGGAGCCCAGGAGGTTGAAGGTGGAGATGAGGAAACCCTTCTTGAGTGTGAGGGTCCCAGAGCCCTGGGCCAGGCTGCCCAGGGAGGCTGTGGAGTCTCCATCCCTGCAGACATTCCAGCCCCACCTGGCTGTGTTCCTGTGGGATCTGCTCTAGGGGATCCTTCTCTGGCAGGGGTTGGACTGGGTGATCTCCAGAGCTCCCTGCCAACCACACCACTCTGTGATTCTGTGATCTTTACACTATATCCAGGTGAATTCTTGTCCACCCTGTGGCTGTATTTCACCAGTACAAAAGCTAAGAACTGAAGAGCATCCACAGAAACAGGCCCAGGTCTGGGACATCAGGCACTTCAGGTTCCACCACTATTGAGCAGAGACAGAAGACCCTTCAGAGGGCAAGTACCTGCACTGGGGCTCTCCCAGTGGACAAATTCCCTGTTCCCAGGGCCACCAGAGCTGCAGTAACCCCAGGGGCTGCAGACTCAGCTGCCAGCAGTGCAGCAGCCCTCAGCTGCCCCAGCTTCCTCTTTAGATCAGCAGCAGCATTAAACAAAACCAGCGGCAGGAGGCAACAACTGCTCCTTGAGGATCACTTACCAAGCAGCTTTCACTTTTGGCATGAAGATGTCACAGGCTGTTGGATGGTCTGCATTACCTCCATGGAAATCAGTTTTTAAACATCTAATTAAGCAACACAGCTAGTTTCCAAATTAGGAAGATGATTATTGACTAGAAGAGCAAAAGACAGAATGCTCATTAGTGCAGTTCTTCTATGGCTGTTACCACACATGGTTTCAGTCAGAGTTGCACCCACTTGTATTTCAGAAATATGGTGGGAAATACAAACCTGAAGGATCTTTGGAATTGCCAGTTTCTCAAGCACATGGTTAGAGATCAGAGAAAAGGATCTAGAAAGCCATGCCATTTATTTTGTGTGGGGTTAACCCCCCCTATTTTTAGGTAATACATTGAAGATAAATACCTGTTTGCGCCCTCAAAAAGACTTCAAAAGTAAAGCCCTTTTTTCTTCACACTCCAAGTTTGATAAAACCAGCACAGCAAGAACATCAGCTGCAGCAGTTGTGCAGCCACAGCTCTGGCTCAGCTCCCACACATGGAAAAGAAAGCTGCCCAACAGCTTCCCTCCAGGATGCAGGAGACAAGTAACAATAACAAACCACCTCTTTCTGATGTGACACTTCAACTTATTACACCAAGAAAACTAACAAGAAAGGATAAAGTACTAAAACCACAGCTAGGCTGAGCAAGCTTGCTGTGTTCTTGGTCCACCATGTCCACTTTTATCATCATTACACTAAGGGACAGAATAACACCTTCCAAAGAGACCAGCAGAAGGAAAAAACCAGTGCTTCTCAGTATGTTCCAGCACACAGACCACCACACCAAAGCCTCACCAAGCTCTGAAACTCTCATCTCCATTAGCCAAGTCTTAGTTGAGTGTTTCACTAATTCACAAGCACGAATTGAGGAGGAAAGCAGGGTCAGAAGAAAAGACCTGCACCTTTCACAGCTGCTTCATGTACCTCCATTCTGGGCACAAATCAAGCATCAAAGATGGAAATTGAAGCCGTGAAGATTCATTCATGCCTAAAGCAAACATCAGGCACTTTGCTGCCATGGTGATGAACACAGGAAAAACACCTTAATCTTGATTCTGCAGGTGTAAAGTAGGGCTTGGTGCAATAGTTAAAATATTGTCTGTCATCAGACACATATTTTGAGTTCAGGCTTTTGAAAATGGTTCATAGTTCATTGATTATTGCAGCTGTGCAAAACCTGAAATGAACAATAAATGAACAGGGAAGTTGTGTATATTACTCATATACACTACTCTGGTCCTGCACAGAATTTTTAAGATTGATTGGTCAAAGGTTCCCAGCTTAATGGTCATAAAACTGTTGGGGAGATGAGCCACCTGCTTGCCTAGCTCATGTTTGCTGACACCAAGAGAACAAATGCTCAGCTTCAGAAAACTTAGCAAGTTCTATCATGTTGTTTTTTTATTTTAAATAACTAAATTCCACGTTAAAGCTCAACAACCCCATTTTCCCTTCAAAATGACAAAGCAGTAAAAAGACTTTTATATAAAACTGAAGCTACCAGCAGCTGAATCTTCACTGTCTGACACATTTATATTACAATAATATATATACTCGGTTTGAAGGCACAAAGAGTTTTCAAAGCTGTTCCAGCCTATCAACCTGATTTTGACTTCTTGGGAGCAACCCCACCACCTTCAGCTGACTTCTCTGCTGGCCTCTTTTTTAACCCTTTCATTTTCCGTGTCTGCAGTTTGCCAAGATCTTGCTTCTGCATGTGGATTCGACCATAAGTTGTACCAAACACGTCGTGGGAGATATTCTTTTTCTTCTTAGGCTGGAAGAGAAGAACAACATCAGTCACTTCTGAGTTGAGAGTACCAGGAGCTCTGGTAAGAATCAAGTGCCTTAAAGCAAGGCCACACACATTGTTTGGAACTTGGCATTAAGATTTGTTCTGTGTGTTCTGTATTTCCAGAGGAGAGCCTGTATGCCAGCTGATCACCACAGAAGTGCTGTGGCCCCAGAAACTTTTGCTGGCCTCTATAAAATAAGCTTTGATCAAGTTTACAATAATTAATCCTTCAGCTTTTGCTCTTCTTCACAGATAGATCTGGCAGTAGCACACTTTGCAGGGTACGTACCTTCAGGGCCTTTGGTTGTTTTAGAGACAGCTTATAAAGGTCATCTGAAGCTAAATGTGTCCTTCTCATAACCAGATCTAATGAAGGTCCCATCTCTTCCAGTTCAATCCTTGGTATTTTACAGCCAGATTTCTTCAGCAGCACCCTAGAAGGGAAAACCAAACAAACAGCCTCATCCTCTGTAGTAAAGATTTATCCATCTTCCTAAAGGGCAGGTTCAATCCTGTAGCTCAGAAGACTTAAAAACAATTGCTTGCTGCTAATTGAGAAAGATGTCTGTCAATAACCATTTATAGCATGTTACCTCTGTGCCATCACAATTTCAACACACCCAAAATATAACCTGGATAATGTTTACCCTCCCCAGTGGCATCGGGATGCTCAGTACTACTGTTAGAACTCGGTCCCAGAACCTCAAATTCAAAACTCCCAGAACTCCCCAAATTCAAAATACTGCCCTGGGCATTAATAGACATGAAAAATACTCACTGTTGTTTACAGCAAAATAATCTGAGTGCTAACCTAGAACGTTCTTTGTTTGTTTTGAAAAATGAGAGTGATAAAAGTGCTTTGTTACAAGAGCCCCCAGAATGGGAAGGGATACAAGCTGTGAATGCTCCCAGTCTCCTCAGGCAGGGCTGGGAGCTGCCAGGTTGAACACCAACACAGCAAGAGATGACCTTGTCTTGCCTTCTCCTGATTTTCCTTCTCTATCTCTGGCTGCAGCTAACCCAGCTAACCACCTGGAGTTCTCTGACAGACACCTAAGTGAGGAGAGTCCCAGAAACCAGCCTGAGGACATGCTAATCTCTGGAGTGTCAGACAGTGCTCTGAATTCACCAGGTTATTTTTCACCACCTCACTAATCCAGTCGTGTGGAAGAGCAACCCTCCCAGCTAGCAGGGGGAGCTCAGCAAGAAAGGAAGCAGCAGGTTTAGGACTTGAGCATTTTCCTGCTCTGGGTTCTGCTGGGACACCTCTACACATGCCATGCTTTGAAGACAACAAGCTGGCTCAAACCAAGCTTGCTGAAGCCAGTTCAGGTGCACAACTGCAGGGTGAATTTGAGGAAGAGCTGACGAGTGGACCAAAAAGCAAGCAGAGGAAACACATACTCACTTGTAGCTCCGCATGTAAATCTTCCCATCTACAGCTGTGAAATGCAGAACGTGCTCCAAGCCAGCCAGGCGGATGCTGGGCACGCTGGGGCCTCTGAAGAAATCTGGAACAAGATTTATTTCAAAGGAAGAAATGCTCAGTTTCTGGGCTGAAAACCAAACCAACAGATGACTGGGACATGTTCACTTCCTAGTGGGCCCGGGTCACATCACTGCTGGGAGCTCCTTGCCTAGACAGACATTTCTGCTGCCCCTATGCAAGGCTGCACAGGGGATGGTTCTAGGAAAGCTGAGCTGGAATGTTTCATGGGAACCTCAGGCAACAGTCACTCCATAGAGCTGCAGCTCTACCAAAAGAGGGGAGGGAAACATTGCACATGTTGGCTCCTGCTCTGGTAAAATCAAACCTATGTAGAAATCCTGACTTCTCAGAGATCACCCAGTAGCCACATACACACCAGCTAAAAGCGAGTGCATGGAGAAAAACTAATACACAGAGCACTTACTTAGCTTTATTAAGCTAATTGGGATAACTGAATTGTCTGTTTTTCGGTTATTTTTCATAACATTAATAATATTATTACTATTTTATTATAATAGCAATAATATTTAATAATATTTTTCTAAATATCTCACTCTAAAGTCAGAAAAATGAAATGTATCTGGTTCTGTGTTGAGGCCAGTTTGTGCTCAGCAAAACACAAATCAATAGGGAGAAGGCATCAGCTCAAGTACCTGTTTAAAGACTTAATTCAAAAATCTGATACTAAAGATTCTTAAGCAGAGCCAGATTTGGAAGCATAAAAGGAGGGCTCAAAACCAGCACAAAACACATCCAAATCGTATCTATCTTACCTACATTTTCTCTCTCTGACTTGGGGAAAAAAGTTTTGCTGTGTTGTTCCTTTCATAGCTCCTCACAGCAAACACTCTGTGCTTCAGGTAAACCCATTTCAGAGCTACTGTTTTCTCTATTTAATAAGCAACAAGGAGCTGTAAGACACTTGAAAGACTTGCTTAGTTTGCACAGAGAACACTGCAGTCCAGGTTAAACACAAAACGAGCTGTCTCTAGTGAGGTTCTTGTACCAGGCTGTGAAAAGAACCCTGTACCAGCAGAGCCTGGAAGAAGCAGAACCACCTGTGCAGTGTGGGCACAGGAGGGAGACAGAGCAGGGCCTGGAGGGAGGAACAAGGTGTGCTCAGGAACACGACAGGCAACACTGAGACACAGGAGAGCTGCCAGGAGATGCAAACACATCAGTCTTCTCCATTCTGCCCCATTTCCAGATCCCTCAGCTGGTTGTCTTTTCCACCACTACCTTTCTCAAGAGTAGCAGCACCAGAGTGACATCCCAAACAAAGTCTTGCTGGCAGATACCTGCTCTGGAGTCCAGCTGGGAAGTGTCCTTGCTCAATTAAATACTCTCTCCTCCTTTTGGGAGTTGAACTTGTAGTTAGAGGAAAAGCTGCAAATAAAATATTTTGCTCTCTCCTGGCATTTATTTTCCCCTAGAATAGCCACCTGTGGGTACACAAGCTTACATTTACAGTGGTTTTATTGGCAACACCTCTCTTCATATTTTCCTGTGGCATTATACATCATTTTCCCCACAGGATGATCTCTTCCCATGAAGGCAGGCAGTCAGGAATTCCTGTTTCCTGGCACCACTGAACAGCTGCAGAAACCTGACACCTCAGTACACCCAGAGAACTGAAGGTTTTTTAATGTACTCTTTTTACTACTACTAATTTACTACTCCTGCTTTGGTTGGACTAGGGACTTGGCTTTCTCCTTTCTTTCCACTCCTAGTTCTTTCTCCCCCTTGTTCTCAGTGTGCTTCCAGAACTTCTAATTTACTTTTTCCTGCAGAGAGCTTCACAGGACCTTCCCATTTCCATATTAAATTATTCAATTATTTAGGAACATCAGTCTACGCCCCTCTTTTTGTATCAATTAATATCCAAAAGCTGGTAACACTGAAAGCTATGCAGGAAGCATTAGTGGAGTTGAAACTCTACCCCAGACACTTCCCAGCCATCCCATTTCTTGGCCAGAAGGAATCCACAAGTTTTGAGACACTCAAACAGTGTCTCAAATAGAGGTCTCCTGAAAACCAACATTTTATGAAGTGAATAAGCAAGTCACACAGCACCCAGCCATTTTTAGGATGAAATGGGTGTGCAGAAACAGAATTAGTACACTGACAGTGTTGTGAGGTAAAGTATTTTATAAATACAAGTATAAAGTTATTAGAATTTAATGAACTGTATTCCAAGGACTTAGATTGTAAATTAAGTCCTACACTACCACATCAGTAGGCAATGAAAACCAAAAGATGGGATGTCTTTGGCTTTCAGGTCTCTAAATGTCAGCTGCCATTTACTTCTGCTGAACAACTTCTTCCACTTCACAATTTAACTGGACTATAGGAGTTGGTTACCATGAAGACAATGCACCCTGGCCTTTAATTCTACAAAGAAATCGCTGAAAGCTGATACTCCAAACATGCATAAACCCTTTTGACACCACAAAAGCCAACAGAGGCTTGGTTGCTCACCAGCATTACACTGCTTTGGCAACAAGAAGCTATCAGCTATCTAATATTCCCTCTGGGATCACAACCATACCACTACAGGGACAAACCATTTGCTGCTGTTGTTAGAAAGACACTTTTCTTCTTTGCTCAGCAATAGAGTGGCAGCTTAAATACACTATGTTTCAAACCATTACCCAAAGGATTTTAGTTAGTGATCCCTCAAGCCTTCACACTCTGTCTGTTGTTTTGCATCTAGGTGTTTCATAGAAGTCAGCAGAACATCAAGACTTGGAGTACATTCAAGAAAGAAGATCAGGTGTCAATTTGACTGCAATGCCATTAAAGGCAAATAAATAGGAGACGAGAAAGGACAAAAGAACATCACAAGAAATAGAACAGGAAAGACTAGTTAGCTGGCAACTATCTAATGATGTGTGTCTACCACTGAAGTTATTAAGCTGTTTGATCACGAGGTGCAGGAGCACATCTGGATGCCAACCACCAACACTGTGCAGGTGCCTGAGCAAGACACACTTCAGAACATCACACCCCTGCTTCCTGCACTGTAAATATTCATTTAGTGATACAAATATGCAGTGTGAAAACTCACTTATCTTTGTATTTATCCATTATTCACTCAACTTCAAGGTTTATATAGTTACTAGCCTTTTGTCTACACCCAAGAACCAGTCAGCTACACTGGGAGGATGTTAATTTTATCCTCTCCTGCTCCCTTTTCAATCATGAAACATCTTGCTTTAAGAAATTAATATTACTAAAGGGGGAAAATAATCTCATTTTTAAGGTCTGTTTATAAAGACAAATCACCTGTTTGCCTAGAAAAAGAAAACAGCCCAACTGATATTTATGCTCTTTGAAAGAGAGATCTTGCAAAGCTGTACAATTATAAATTGGTACAACCCAAGAATGGAACAGAAAGAAGACTGTTCTTCTTCAGCCAGTTTCAATATTTTACCAGAGCTTAAAAAAAGGTAACCCACTTCCAGGAAAACTAATTAAAAGACAAAAAAACCCATCACACTACTGACTAGATCAAGTTCTACCAAGCAAGACACATTCTTAAGTGTCAAGAGATACAGCACCACATGACTGCTATGCCCCAAAAAGCTACCCTAAGAATAGTACAATCATTTCTTGTAATTCCCCAGGAAAAAACCCACAATGTGCTTTATCTTCCAATGCCCTCAACCTTGAGATAGTAAAACAACTTGATGCCAGTTTGTGTACTAAGCTCCAAGCCTGCCTTGAAGTTATGACACAGCTATTATCAACAGCTGATTGTTACTGCACTTGTTCTTTCCTAGTACCCTCATCAATGGCACTTCTGTTAGGACTGGTCACATTTCCAACAGAAAATGCTTTTTTTATAAAAACAAAAGCTCAGTTATACTGATTTGACTATTTAGTAAGCAAGAATATCCCACTTTCTGAACTCGATCCACTGATTTCAAATTAGATACTTCAGACCCATTATTTGGTTAGAAAAGTGATGATTCAGTACAATTGCTAAGTAAAGACTTTTTGAAAAATGCCAGAATTTCCTCATAGAAGTCATGGATTTCAGTGAACACAAAGGTTCAACTGCAGAGTCTTTTAGGCCAGTCTTCTTTTGCCCTAGTGATGACTAGTTAACTTTAAATTCATGTCACATGAAACAGACAAGTGCCTGCTCTTGTTTCCTTTCTGTGCTGAACACAAACAAACATTGATTGACAAACCAGCATTTCCCCACAGATCCTATCACTGCAGATCTATGCAATCCTACTGCTCAAATAACCAAAATACTGACCAATTAGCAGGCTCTTCAGTCTTCTGTATTCTTCATTCACCTCAAACACATCCCCAGCAAATATCAACATTGGTTTTGTTCCTTCAGGGCATTTGCTGTTCTGTGGAATAAGAATTGTAAAACAGAACAAAAATTCAGAAAGTTCTAAATTGTCTGCTCCTTGTTCATTCTTGTTTTCTTTGACTTTTAAGTCACATTCTGTCTTTTTTTCTTTTTATTTCCTGCCTCTCAAGATGAGCTCAAAGTAATTCAGGAGGAACCTACGAGGAGCAGAACCTGACTAAGGAATTTTGTAAATCCAGCTCTTTAATTAAAAAGGAAAATACTGTGAATAAACAAATATTTTTTAAAAAAGACAGTTGCGAGCTTGCTCAAAACAACCAAAATAAAATAAAAAGCAGAGCATAAAACCCCCATTCTGGGGTACACAAACCAGCAACCCCCGTGTACTGCATGAAATGACTTTTTGAACAACTGTCCTGGCTGCAAAGCACAGAAAAAGCCAAGGCACCAAGAATCCCACCAGCAGGTGTCACTGCCAGACGGCACGAGGGATTCCTTACTTTGACATCCTTGAGGGACACAAACTTCTCAACACCCAGCTCAATCATGTCTAGGACGTGATAGTCAAACATGCGACCTGTGACAGCAAAGAAGAGAAAACCCAGCTATTTAAATATTCATTTCAAACGACACCTTTCATCCAAATGAGACTCCAGATGAGACATATTACCTATGACCAGGTTGTTAGGTCGCTTCTTGTTGTGAGAGCCAAACAGAAACAGAGAACAGTCTGATTTCTTGGAAAAAAATTCCTACAATTGAGGAAAAGGACAAAACTTATGAGTTGCAGTTTGCAGAATTTAAAATGTCGGGTGAAGGAACATGTCACAAACATGTGAGTTTAGCAGCTGCTTAATGAGAAGAGTAACTGCACCTACCAGAGGTGTTTTGAGCATGTCCACATCAGCTCAAACTGACAGCTGGATTCCAGGTTCAAATAACAATTCATTTCTCTTTTTTACTTCCCATTGCAATCTTAAGGATCAAGCCAGGCAATTTTTTCTTGCCATTTTATCTGTAATGTCCTTTTTCATAATTCCTCATTATTTGTTTCTGCATAAGAAACCTTCCACCTCTTCTCCTGAAGAGAAAGTATTTGCAAGTTGGCTGCAGCTGTAACACCTCATTCTAGTTACCCAGACAAGCTTTATAGACCACATGAGCTTTGCCCAACAGCTTCTGAACCACCAGTTAATTCCCTCAACAATAAATCTAGAAACATCTGCAAGTATCTAGTGTTCTTACACTTGGGCACAAGAGTCCTATTAAAGAGCAATTTCAGGTCCATTTATTATTTCAGACTAAGGTGCTACTCAAAACCAAGCCACGGATGACAATGACAGAAAAGACCTTTTCTCCAGGTGGAGTAGATAGAGAACCTAATGTGGTGTTACCTCCAGACCAATGTTGGAAGATAACCCAGAAATGCAGAATGCTGTGGTGATTTAGTGTAAGATGTGCTCTGAATTTATCTATACAAAGGGAAATTGAAGCTGGCACACAGCTGGCACCACAGCCAGCCCTGGGCAGGGACATCCTGCAGTAACCAGGCCTGCCTTCAGCTTCTCCAAGCTCCCTAGAAAGTTTGCTTCTCATCTAGTTCCTCAGAGTAACAGCAAATTATTCTCTGACAAGAGTTCTTCAGGACTTTAAGGCAGTAAAATGTCACGATGTCTGGTTTACACTTACCAATGATGTTTGATCCTCAAAAGGCCTAGTAATATTTTTCCTGACAAGAGGAAAGGGACAAGAACAAAACAAAAAAAATTAAAAAAAAACACAAACAGGCCCAGATAAGCACTTATTTGTTTTGGTTTGGTTCAAAAAGACCTTTAAGAGCATCAAGTCCAACTGTTAACCCAGCACTAACCCATGTCTCTCAGCACCACATCTACAGGGCTTTTGAATCCCTGCAGGGATGGTGACTCCACCACCTGCCTGGGCAGCCTGGGACAGGGCCTCATAACCATTTAGGTGAAAATTTTTTCCTAATATCCAATCTAAACCTCCCCTGGCACACCTTGAGGCCATTCCCACTTGTCCTATTGCTTGTTTCTTGGGAGAACAGACCAACCCCCACCTCACTACAACCTCCTTTCAGGCAGTTGCAGCCATAAGGTCTTCTCTCAGGTTCCTCTTCTCCAGACTGACCATCCCCAGCTCCCTCAGCTGCTCCTTCTAATTAATTACTTGAGAACACCACAACTATGCATTCTACTGGAAACTCCAGGCCTAAAGGCTCAGTTTTGATTCAAACCATAAGCTATATTAATAGTGCCAGGAGGTCCTTAGTGCTGCAATTGCCATTTTAAGAACTTTTCTCCCTGTCTCCTGGGGCCTGGCTTCCAGGCCACCACCACTGACACTAAATAACTGCAACTGCTTGTTCATCCAACGTTAAATTCAGCTATTTCAGTTAATGTCTCTGCACTAGAGTCACAGAATGTTTTGGGTTGGAAAGGACCTTCAAGATCATCCAGTTCCAACCCCCTGCATGAGCAGGGACACCTCCCACCAGCCCAGGCTGCTCCAAGCCCCATCCAACCTGCCCTTCAACACTGCCAGGGATGGGGCAGCCACAGCTTCCCTGGGCAAACTGGGCCAGGCTCTCACCACCCTCACACTCCACAATTTCCTCCTCATGTCTCACCTCAATCTCCCCTCCTCCAGTTTTCATCCATTCCCCCTTGTCCTCTCCCTCCCTGCCCTTGTCCCAAGCCCCTCCCCAGCTTTCCTGGAGCCCCTTCAGGCACTGGAAGCTGCTCTAAGGTCTCCCTGGAGCCTTCTCTTCTCCAGGCTGAACACCCCAACTCTCCCAGCCTGTCTTCTACATCCATACAGATACTGGCCTCCCATTATGAGCAAGTGTATCTATCATTCTAATATGTATGTCAAATTCATAGGAATTTGGATCCAAGAGCTCTAGCCCTACCAGCTGTTTGCACAGACCAGCCTGAGCAGGAACTGTCCCAGCCTGCTGGATCCTCTAACACTTGTCACAGAACTTGGGTCAGCACCAACACTGATCACCCCTAGTCTGCTGAAATTCATGATGAACCTGTCACCTCCTGCAACCCCTTCCATCATTCCAGCCCCCATGTCAGGCAGGATCTCTATCCATGCTCTGAAATCACCACCAGCTGTCTTGTCAGGAGAGCCACAGTGAGACCACTTACTTTTTATACAGCACAGCAAAAGGCTTCTTCACAGCATACTGCAAAAGACAAAGTTAAACACATTATCTCTAATACATTTAAGTGCACAGCACTGCCTTTTCTCAAACCCCACAACTTACATGGAATATAGGAACTGTTTGTGCAAATCAAAAGAAGGCACCCCAAAAAGCCTGCTCACAATAACATCCTTCAACTCGGTGGCATCTTGGTCCCCAGTTAACTGAAGGACTTACTTTTAGAAACTAAGAAATAACCAAGTAACTGAGAAGCACCTAAAATCTAAGCCATGTGATGGAATCTCTCTGCTTCCAGGGGCACGAGGAAAAACAGGGAGTGACCAACAGCCTGATCATCACTGGAATAAAATGGTAAGAAAATAACAAAGAGAGAAAAGAGTGCAGGAACAGCTGTAATAATTTCAGGTACAGAGTTAGCAGGTGGGCTTGGGAAGTTTTAAGAGAGGTTGAAAGCTCCATCTCAATACACACATGCATCTTACAGGATTCTGGGATATCAGCTGACTGATCCAGTCCCAATTCTGCACCTAACCCTCTTGTTTTCAAATGAACTTGCAACACTTTGCAAACAAAATAATAATAATGGAGAAAACAAGCTCAAAACTTCCAGCCAAGAAGAAACTGGAAGAAAATAATCTCCATCAAGGGGCAGGTAATGGCACCTTTGGTCCATCTGAGAGTTGGGGAATGGGGAGAGCATGAAAATATGGATCTTGCAGCAAAGAATAGGCCAACTGTAAGGAAAAGAGAAAGGAAGGCATTGCTGGTGTAGCACAAAAGGAGGTGTAATGAAAGGCTGCACACCATGTCCAACAACTCACAATGTCTTTAAGCACTTCAGTCACTGTTAAGTTTGCATTTCCTCCTTTTATGAGCATGGCATTTTTTGTATTTTCCTTAAGTTTGGGTTCCCTCTTCTCCAGAAATCTTTTTGCTCTCTTAGTTTTAGGTTTTCTGTAACAACAAATTCACAGTTAAAAACTTGGTATTAACAACAGCACCTGACACCACAGGAACAGCAAAACACAAGAACTGGAGCAAATTGTCTTCGAGGAACTTGTTTCCGTGACTGAAACTAATCCCAACCTGCAGAATTAATCTCAGTGCTAAGAGCCCAGTCACAAATGAATGGGTTTTACTGCCCTCCTCTTCCTCTCTGTCTCCTCTAGCTAGCAAAGGTGATTTTACAGTCCTGGGCTTTCCAGTTTCTGCTGGTTTAGAGCCTAAGCTATGCCAGAATTCCCAGAGATTACTGACAGCCTCAAAGTTTCCCCTCACACCAGCTCTCTTCCCAATTCAGACACTTGCCCACGAAAAGAAAAAGTTCCTCAAAGACCATCAATGGCATCTAAAAGAAAACCTCAAGTACAGCACATCTGTGGGCAAGAGCCAGAGAGCAGAACTGTGCATTACATAGGTGAAATACACCAACATGAGCAGGGGTACAGGGCTTATATAAATTAATAACTACATGGCTTTATCATAGACTCACAGAGTGGTGGGGTTGGCAGGGAGCTCTGGAGATCACCCAGTCCAACCCCTGGCAGAGCAGGATCCCCTAGAGCAGATCCCACAGGAACACAGCCAGGTGGGGCTGGAATGTCTGCAGGGATGAAGACTCCACAGCCTCCCTGGGCAGCCTGGCCCAGGGCTCTGGGACCCTCACCATGCACAAGTTTCCCCTCATGTTCAGATGAAAGTTGCTGTGCTCCAGCTGGTGCTCCCTGTCCCTTGTCCTGTCACTGCCCCCCTCCTCCTGACACCCGCCCTTTGGGGATTAACAAGCACTGATAAGACCCCTCCTCTAGGCTGAACAAACCTCCACCTCTCAGCCTCTCCTTAGGACAGATGCTCCAGCCCCCTCACCACATCTGGAGCCCTTAAAAACTACCTTTCTCCACCAGACGAACATAATGCCTGGGTGCCCGGCTCAGGGGGGTACCCGGCTCAGAGGGGTACCCGGCTCAGAGGGGTACCCGGCTCAGAGGGGTACCCGGCTCAGAGGGGTACCCGGCTCAGAGGGGTACCCGGCTCAGAGGGGTACCCGGCTCAGAGGGGTACCCGGCTCAGAGGGGTACCCGGCTCAGAGGGGTACCCGGCTCAGAGGGGTACCCGGCTCAGAGGGGTACCCGGCTCAGAGGGGTACCCGGCTCAGAGGGGTACCCGGCTCAGAGGGGTACCCGGCTCAGAGGGGTACCCGGCTCAGAGGGGTACCCGGCTCAGAGGGGTACCCGGCTCAGAGGGGTACCCGGCTCAGAGGGGTACCCGGCTCAGAGGGGTACCCGGCTCAGAGGGGTACCCGGCTCAGAGGGGTACCCGGCTCAGAGGGGTACCCGGCTCAGAGGGGTACCCGGCTCAGAGGGGTACCCGGCTCAGAGGGGTACCCGGCTCAGAGGGGTACCCGGCTCAGAGGGGTACCCGGCTCAGAGGGGTACCCGGCTCAGAGGGGTACCCGGCTCAGAGGGGTACCCGGCTCAGAGGGGTACCCGGCTCAGAGGGGTACCCGGCTCAGAGGGGTACCCGGCTCAGAGGGGTACCCGGCTCAGAGGGGTACCCGGCTCAGAGGGGTACCCGGCTCAGAGGGGTACCCGGCTCAGAGGGGTACCCGGCTCAGGGGGGACGCCTGGATCAGGGGTTGCCCGGCTCAGCGGGGGGCGTCTGGCTCGGGGGGGATGCCAGGCTCAGGGGGGAGCCCGGTCCATGGGATACCCGGCCCATGGGATGCCCAGCCCCCGCACTCACACCACCCGGTCCAGCGCGTCCATGCCCGCCCCGCCGCCTCCCGCCGCCACATCCGCTACGTCACATCCGCCCGGCGCCGCTTCCGGCGGGCCGCGGGCGCTGCCCGGAAACTAACGGCGGGTGACGATGGGGCTGCCGGCCCTGCGGGGCTGCAGCTCCCGCCTCGCTGCTCCCCCCGGCGCGGACACGCCGGGGTTCCCCGGAGTCACTTCCCTGCAGGAACCAGCGCGGCCGTCGGGACCAGGGAACACGAGCTGGCGCGTAGGAGGAACTAAACACCCAAGATTTCGGCCTAAAACCTCCAGCGTGGCAACGTCACAGCAGCAGGGGCGGTGCATCCGTGACATACTCGGCCGGTTGGTCTTTGTTTTTTTGAGGTGAAGGCGCTGGAAGACAGCCCAGAAATGCAGGATGCTGCTCTGTGTTCATCTCCACAGGTGGGAAGGGCAGGCAGGGCACAGAGCTGGCACCTCAGCAGCCAGGCCTTGAGCAAGGCCTTCCATTCATCAGCGGCTTTGAGGGCGTCTCACATAAATCACCAACTTGGCAGAGAAGACTTGAGGTCTGTACAAAAAAAAATTGGAGCTAAGGGATGCAGGAGGTGAGAAAGAAGAACTAGAATCAAGAAAACGGATGGCTGAACCAGTCTGGTTGGAGCTCCGAGTTTGATGTTGTGCCGTTTAGGTGAACTCAGCTTATTTTAATCTCATTATAACCCAAAAATCACACCCCCAGGTCACAAAGACCCCTGCCCAGGTGAAGACCCTTCCCCTGAGTGTGGGTGGCAGCAGAAACTGTGATGGAACCACATTGTAACTCTGTGGAGATCACTGACCAGTCACTGTCAGGAGGATGGACTTGGAAGCTTCCTAACTTGACAGTTTTGTGTATAAATATGTCATGGAAAATCTCCTTTGGGTGCTTGATTTGTGGGAAGGCACCAAGCACCCAGCTTTGTTCAAGCCTGCAGTGAATGACAATGTCTCCTTCCTAAACATAGGCTCTTGGCCTGTGTTTCAGGAGCCAGCTTAAAACAGGAACAAAATCAGTAAAGCTGCAGAATTCATTGTCAGCAGCTCTGGAACCAGGGGGAAAGATGGGTAAAGAGTGAGTATGATTGCAAAGGTTAGAGCTAATACTAGAAACAAGAGGTTTAGTGTTATAAATAACATTTTAAATGTAAATAACATTATTTTGAAGGTTCTCATAGTTTGATACACATAAAATGTTAAAAACTCAATACTCCTAATTGGCCTTCCAGTGCCTGAAGGGGCTCCAGGAAAGCTGGGGAGGGGCTTGGGACAAGGGCAGGGAGGGAGAGGACAAGGGGGGATGGATGAAAACTGGAGGAGGGGAGATTGAGGTGAGACATGAGGAGGGAATTGTGGAGTGTGAGGGTGGTGAGAGCCTGGCCCAGGTTGCCCAGGGAAGCTGTGGCTGCCCCATCCCTTTATGCTTAGAAAATATACTGTGCTTTTCAAAACATTACAGTGAATGCACCACATCTTCAATGTTTACATGAAATACCACGTGCCCACACAAACGATGCAGCAGTTGGGAACATCACCCCACAGACTAGCTGGGGACCCAGAGTGGATCAGTTTGGGATTCACTGATGTGTCATTACAGGATCTGAGGCATAAAAGCTCTCAGAAAAGCACCAGAAGATCAGAACCAAGAAGTTCTTAAAAAAAACCCACAACCAAACCAACCAACAAGAAAAACCTTTTTTGTGTAACACATTAGCTTATCTGTAGAAAAGGGGGAAGGAAGAGTGACAGATACCTCATTAAGTGCTGATTAGTCCACAGGGGCTTTCAGGACTTGACTGGACAAAGCCCTGAGCAATTTGGCCTGAATTCAGCGTTGATGCTCTTTTATTTCAAGTTGGAAGCTGGACTAGAGACCTCTTGAAGTCCTTTCCCACAGGAAGGATTTCTAAGACCCTATCAAGGGGACAAAGGACATTAAAGAAAACCCAAACTTAGCAACCTGAAGAGTAATCAAACCAGTAATAAAACACTCACTTCCAGAACAGACACAGTAGGTGACTGAGCATGGCACACAAGCTGAAGCTATACTTGAAAAAATTGAGGACTTTATTTCAAACATTTTTTCCTTTTACAGAATGTCCCAGCCTGTACAATACATCAACATTTTTCTAAGGTAGGGGTTTTAAAATGATGTAACCATCTTTTCTTCTCCAGTTTTCAGGCAGAGACACACACATTTCCAACCAACCTCTTCCAAAAACACTTCAGCCCTCCCCACTGCCATCCAGACCTGAAAGCAATGCACAACACCACCACGTCCATTCTTCCACTATTAATTGCTCAGATACATCGAAATCATGTCACAGTCTACAAAATTTGGCATTTAAAAGTTGGCCCATTAACACCATGAAGAAATCCTGGCAAGATCAGAGCTGGTATCATGGAGGGACCTCATCTAATGCAACATTTCCAGCAGGAGAATCCTCTGCCCCAGAAGCAGGGCTGTCAGGCAGAGGGATAGAGGCATCTGTTTCCAAGCTGTGCTGCTTCTCTAGACTACAATTCATGTCAGAATTTCCTCCACCACTCACTTCTCCCTCTGACTCTTCAGTCAATTTGTCCTGGGCCTGAACTGACTCCTCAGAATCCTCCTTTTCACGCAGGAAGCTGCAGATGGTGTTGGGCCTGCTGTAGGAAAAGTCTCTGTCCTTGATTTGTAGCCACTCCACTCCACCTGGTGCAGAGAAGGAAAACCAGTGTTAGTGACAAAAGGTGTTAAAGAGGTAACAGCAGTTTTTTCTTAGTGTAAGTTCAGTGTTAGTAAGGCTGAGCCTGACCAACATTTCAGTAACACAGTCACTGGGGACAGAACCATGCCTTTCAAGAATTTGGATCAACACTCATTTTTTAGGAGAGTCTCACCATGGGGCTTAAACCCTTAACCTTCCTGGGAAAATAAGGCTCTGAATAACAGAAAGGCATTTGATAAAGACAGGCCAGCTTAAAATTAAGATAAACTTAGCCATTGATAAGTTAACAATAACATGCATAGGAAAAACCAACTTGTCCAAGACATGTAGCTCAGGGGTTTGATCCAGATACTGGAGACACTGTGAAATGGCTCCCTGAGGTGACCAGCTCAGTCCCTGCAGAGCAGCCACAGTGGAGAGCAAATTATTAGGAAAGCCACATGGCAAGAGACTTAGAAAAAAAACAACAACAAAACAAAACCCAACAAAAAATAGCCCACGACAAAAGAAGACAGTCTAGAATTTTACTTGGAGAAGACAGCTCAGAGGGGGCAGCTGTTCAGAAGATTGTACTGGGAAAACAAACAGGGATTGACTTATCTCCTCATGCTGTGAACAAAATAAGTAACTTATGCTCATTGGAAGCACCAGATAATATATTTCTAAAAACTACAAAAGGAAATAAACAGTCCAGGGAACACACAGTAAAGCTGTACGTTTTCCATACAAGAGAACTGTGATGTGAAAAATAACTGCCACAAAATGTGGCAGAAGTAAAAAATACTGACAGGTCCAAAACAGCAAGTGAAGATGACAGAGCCTTTATGGACTAAATACATAGTAATTCAGATGAAAAATCCTGTTGAATTATTCATGAGCTGCTGATCACTGGAAGGAGAACCACAAGTGAGGATCAGTCATGTACACGTCCTGCTTTCCACCCACCATTTACTTCTGTCCAGAGTCAGAAATACAACAGAGGACTGAAACACCTTTGGTCCAACCCAGTCTGGCAGCTCCTGTTGCATTTAGGTGTCAGACACCACCCTCAGACTCTTAAAATAACTTAAATATAACTCAAAATGCCAAGAAAAGATTATACAAATTCAAGAGAATAAAACGTTTGTTCACCTAAATCTTTGAACATCTAGTAATATGACAGGGAAATCATCAGAGATACTGTAGGAATTTTTGTCATCTCCTGAACTTAAGTATCTCAAGTTCTTGTAACAGACCCAAAACAGAGCTGGGATTCCCCTCCCACTTGGATTTTCAGGCAGTACATCCTGCCAATTCACAGCACACTGTGGTTGCTTTGTATGCACAACATTCATCTTTTCTCAGGGTACAGAAACAAAACTTGTAGATTACAGAAAAACACGCCAGGGAAGGTCAGCATGTTTGCTCTGTTTTTACACTTCTGTAGGAATCTCCTCTTGGCCACACCCAGAGGCTGCACTAGGCAGAAGGAACCTCGCTGCTTTTGTTTTTTGGTTTTGTATTTTTGTACTTGTTGCATAAAGGTTTCTCTAATTCCCTGCATGCTCCTGAACCCAACACTTCCTTGGGGCTAACATTTCTCAGCATAATCCACCCCTGGCTGACACTCCTAAGCAGAATCCATCTGTGTCCCTGCGCACGGGAGCAGAGGCACTAACCAACATTCTCTTCTCCTTCCTTCTTCTCTGTCAACAGTGTCCGTGTCATACTCAACTTCTTCATTGTGTGGCACTTGTATTTCAGCTGTACTTTCTGGTTGCCTTCTGCATCTACTATGAAAAGAGGAGAAAAAACAATACCCAAAGCCCAATCATTATAGTGAATTCCATTATCAACTGGAACAAGGCAAATATTATTTTTAACCTCCCAAGCTACCACAACAATCAGGACATCAAAACATAATTACCATGCTCTGTGTTTTCTTCAAAAAACACGCAGGTTCCCAGGGTATCTATGGAAAACACAGTGAGAAGGTCTTAGAGACTAATTTTCACCAGCTGCAGATGCTGCCCCCCCTGGCACAACTCTGGGAATGTTTTGACTCACAGTCCCTCACAAAGGCCCACAGTGTGGTAAACACATTGCCCACTCAGGACCAGACAGGAGCACCACGGCCACAGAAAGTCAACACAAGGGAGGACCCCAGATCATCTTGCAGAGCAATGTTGTCACCAAAAGGCAAATGGGAGAACTACAGGTCGCACAACAGGTCAGTGCTGCTTATACAGGAGACAACCAGAACTTCCTGCAATGCATTTTATGTCCTGCATCCTCCCTGCAGAGATCCCAGCTGATGCACCCCAAGTCACCTTCCATGGACACTCTGCCACAAGGAACACGGATCCATGGCTAATCCAGCCCTGAACTCAGCCTGGTGCTGCTCTGGGTGGCCTTACAGACACCACCCAGAACTTCAGCACCTTACAGGCCCAGGTTCTCTGTTTACACTGCACTAACTGCTGTTAAGACAGTTCTTAGGCACACATGAAAAAGGAGAGTTGTATCCACATCATTTTTCCTACCTTCATATTCTCCTGCAAACACGTATCTGTCCACTTGTAAAATGGGCCTCTCTGTCTCTATTCCCTACAAAAAGAGGGACAAGATTGCACAGATGTCAGAGATGTCAGGTCTTGCTGTGAGACCAGAGAGGACAGATGCAGCAGAATCTAGATTACAGCAATTCCTTGAAAGGATAAATAGTTTTAAAAAGCAACATAAGGTAATAACAGTAAAATAAGTATTCCATAAGACTGTGAATGTGAAATACACGTGAAAAGCTTTTGGTATTGAAGAAAAGGAATGGATTCCAAACTGTGACATTTTCTCAAACTACCAACTTCATATGAAAAAAGTGTATCTTTAAACCAGGAGTTATGGAAAGGGAGAATTCTGCAGAGGCTATGATCTTACAAAGAGCAGGAGACTCCTGAAAAAGTAACAAGACTATACATTATATAGTATATACTATACATTAAATTAGTATTTAGTAGTTTTTAAAAAATGTAATAAAAGTAATCTTGTCATTACAGTTGACCCTGGGGTCTTCTGCCATGTTAGACATCAGGGGTGGGGGGAGAAAGGAGTTTTTTTCCATTTGTGTAGGAGGCTTAACTGTTCCACAGGGTTTAGCCAGGGGTTGTGTAGGATCAGTGCACTGTAAAAAAAATAACTAAAATGTAATCTCAACTTTTTCAGGCTATCATCATGTTGCTTTATGTCCCTTTAAGTATATTACAGGTTAGTTTAAGTATATTAAATATAAAGAATATACCAGATGATCCTATTCTAACAATCACAGCAATGCTGAACAGGTATAGAAAATGTTAAAAAAGAACAAAAAAAATTTAGAACAAACTGCAAATTACTGTTGATTGAGATTATAGGAAGTAACTTTAAACATTTATTTCCTTTGGGAAATTAATTTAATCTCAATGTTAAATGAGCAAATAAAAATACACATATCTGCATGAAAAAACAACCAAAAAAGTGGTTTTCTAAGGTCCAATTAATGCCAGTCCTGTAAAGTGGGAAAACTCATTCTTTGGAAAACAACCAAGGTGAAGAAGTCTGGCCTCCAACATTACACCAGCAGCAGAAGTGCAACTGCAGGGTTACAGAAGCTGCTGTGGCTTGATTTTTTTGGTGAAAGACTCCAGGGATGGTGATTCCACCACCTCCCTGGGCAGCCTGTGCCAGTGTTTAATTACCCTTTCCATGAAGAAGTTTCTTCTAATACCTAATCTAAACCTCCCCTGTACTATATACAAGTACTATCAGTAGTACTTGTACTATCCACCTACACAGCTCACAGTCCAAGTGGGTTTTGGAATTTTTGGAAGGCAAATAACATTCCTCCCATACAAAGTGATTAAACAACTCAAAATAAAAGCAGAAAAGTAAGTCAGTATCTTACAATAACTTAAGTGATGGAAGCAACACCCAAAACTGTTTACCAATTGCTTAAGACCCAATTATCCTTTACCACACTGGAACTTGCCGAGCAGTAACTGCAAAAAAACATTTGTAAATACAGCACAACTTAGAAAGCTTTTGGTTTTACCCGCCAGCTGTGTTCAAGTTATTTGGGGAAACATACTTAGCAATGTTTCTGATGTGTTAAATGCACCATCTAAAGAACTAAGAGCTTGAAATCGGAGGGGATAAAGGTTTTAGCTTATAAATACTTCTGAAAAAGCTTCCTTACTTTTACATAAAGTACTTTATTCAAAGACCATTTGCCATTTCTACCACAGCATGCATAGCCTGTAGCCAAATACAGCCAAGATAATGCAGCATAGTTCTTTGATTAAAGATTTGATCCAAATGCTATTCATAGAATCAAAGAATGGTCTGGGTTGGAAGGGACCTTCAAGACCATCCAGTCCCAACCCCCTGCATGGGCAGGGACACCTCCCACCAGCCCAGGCTGCTCCAAGCCCCATCCAACCTGCCCTTCAACACTGCCAGGGATGGGGCAGCCACAGCTTCCCTGGGCAACCTGGGCCAGGCTCTCACCACCCTCACACTCCACAATTCCCTCCTCATGTCTCACCTCAATCTCCCCTCCTCCAGTTTTCATCCATTCCCCCTTGTCCTCTCCCTCCCTGCCCTTGTCCCAAGCCCCTCCCCAGCTTTCCTGGAGCCCCTTCAGGCCCTGGAAGGTGCTCTAAGGTCTCCCTGGAGCCTTCTCTTCTCCAGACTGAACACCCCAACTCTCCCAGCCTGTCTCCAGAGCAGAGCTGCTCCAGCCCAAGGATCATCTCTGTGGCCTTCTCTGGACTCTCTCCAACAGCTCCATGTCCTTCTTATGCTGAGGGCTCCAGAGCTGGGCACAGTACTAATAACTCCAAGGAATTTAGAAAGCCTCAGTGCCTTGTTCACATAGTCAGTAGACTTACCCTTTTTCTATTTTGCTGTAATCACTCACCAAAATCTTGCATTTGTTTTCACATTTTTCTAAGAAGTCTGAATCAATAATTCCTGAGAGTTCCACCATGACCAGTTGCTCCTACAAGATAAATGCATAACATGCATCTGGAATCAGTATATTTGAACTCAGGAGAAAAGCAAAACAAAAAACTCCAAAACAAACAACCCCATAAACCCCCCCAAAAACCTTGCCCAGGAAGACCCAGACCTTCAGATTACACAGACCCCAAATCTGATTTATGCTGCACTTCACCTAAATAAATGGCAGAGAGATACTGCAACATCCAAGGGAACGGAGTGACCTCCAACTCCATCATCCACCTGTTCCACCCCTGAATTTCCCGGCCTTTCCTTCCTAGCTAGAAAGCAAGCTCATTTTTCATGAGTGAAGTCAGTATGGGCAAATTATTTATGAATTATTACAGCAGGAGCAGTTACACATCCTGCAATACCTTCTCTAAGCTGCAGTACCTATGTGAATAAGGCACTGTGAGGCACTGGGGTGAGGGGCTAAGCAAGGTGCTGTTTGAAATGCTTTTGTACCGCACTGGGACTTGGAGCAGCTCCCCGTGGGAAAACACGAACAAAGAAAACACCCACCTCGAAAAACCTTTTATTCAGGGTGAAAAAGAGCTCTCTAAAGTCATCCTAACCTACTGAAGGTGCACGAACGCACACGGCAGCTGTTTCGGGGCTGTGCCGAAGGCGGGAAGCAACTGGAGCTGCAGGAGGGCTCTTTCCCACAGCACCTTCAGATGAGCAGCCCTAAAGACACATCTCAGGGCACAGGGGCTGAGGGGGCAGAGCCCGGGCAGGCCCCGCGGCTTCCAGGAGAGCAGCCACGCCAGCCCTGCC